TGTTGCGCGTTTATCTTTCAATAGAGAGGTGGTATGCATAGTATAAAAACACGAGACTTACTTCACCGAGTTTTTTATAGATATTGGTAAAACAAAATTTTAAAATTTATATTATGCAATGTGATAGTACATTCGACAAATAAAACAAAATCCACCAAGTCTATTTATTGACTACAAAAAACTCATTCCTTGGTCAGGGCGTAATTTAGTACAATAAAATTCCCAGGGTTTATTTAATTAATTAATATAATACAAAATTTGTATTTTTAATTAATTATATAGAGACTATGTGAGTGACGTAAGCACGTGGGCTTGAATTTGTACTCCACATGGCAACAGCACGAATAGAATTTCGGTCAGTCCTTGATCACGAAGACCCGTTTTTTCTAGTTCAAGCCATCGTTACCGTAAGCTCTGATTGAAACATCATATTGCAAATTATGTGTGTGTTGTATTTCAAAAAGGCTCCTTATAGCAAATCGTGTTTTTTTTCCCTTTAGCTTTGTACTGATCTAGAGGTACATTTATTATTTGATGCTCGCTAAAGCATAAAAATAAATTATAAAATTTTATCTATTGGCTCGAAACACGTGATCATTAGTTGGTTTTTTCCACTGCTGTAGTGACGACTTTTCGCAATGTTAAATTATTGCGAGCAAACAAAAGGCCTTGAGCTTAACCACGTCTAAATGTTACATTGAGAGAGACCTCGTGGGGTAAATTTGCAATATTTTTATATTCACCACTTCGTAATGAGATGAATATATGTACATTATACCGGTTTCATAAATATTGCCAACCAGATTTTAACGTGATATTAGATACGACTGATCTTAATACAACACACGCCTCACAAAATTCCCGATGGATTCGTGGCGTAAAATTTATCATAATTGTACTATCTATCTGCGCTAATTACTTCTTCTTCTCAGTCGTGTCACTCTTGACAGAGTGGTCGTGATCGTCATGTAGTGTTGGAAGGGGTAGACTTGATGCGTCTCACGATGTCGCGCCATCTCTCCCTGCTCGAGGCCATTCTACTGCACTCATTTAGGGGACCTCCCACTGCAGTTTTAATTTGGTCGGTCCACCGCATTGGTGGCCTCCCGCGCGGTCTTGTACCATCAACGCTTCCCTGTACAACGAGGCGTTCTATGGACCGGCCATCTCGTCGCGAAACGTGTCCGAAGAAATTCACCATTCGAGACTGTACTATACCAAATAGACGCTGCTTGATGCCGAGTTCCTGAAGTATCGAGACATTTGTACGAAAGTCGGTCCACGAAACTCCAAGCATTCTTCTCCAGCACCACATTTCCAGAGCGTCTATTTTCTTCCTTTCCACGTCTCGCACGGTCCACGTCTCAGCAGCGTATAGAAATATAGAGAATATTAGTGTTCTAACGAGCCTGATCTTTGTGGTTTTGGTTATGTTTCTATTTCTCCATACTTTCCTCA